CCCCCTCTTGAAGATATAGAAAGGAGAACGGGAATGTGGTTTATGAAGTATTACATCATATGATCACTCTAAAAAACAAACGAGGTGGGTTTTTTCTAGTTATAGTTGAGAAAGATGTGTGACTAAAGCCACACATTTCAGAAGTAGTTGTTTGTCACTACACTGTGGGTTCTGGTTGTTCAGGGACTTCCCCTCAAAGGTGATGGAGTTAGCGTGGGAGGCAAAGAAGGGGAGGCCACCTGTTGTGAAACTGCACTTTGTTTTGGACTTTTTTGTAAATAGGTAAATCTGTAATTCTTTGATTTACAAATGCAAAAAAAGAGGCATGCTTTTAAAAATAAAATTCTATCTCATTTGAAGAGGAATGAAGTGAATCAGCACATGTCCTTTTCCTCTTTCTGCAGGAATTATTCCCCAGCTTTTCTCCCGCCTGAATCACCCAGAAGTGTATGTTCGTCAGAGCATTTGCAACCTACTCTGTCGAGTTGCTCAGGATTCTCCTCATCTCATCCTCTATCCTGCAATAGTGGGAACCATTTCACTGAGCAGTGAATCCCAGACTTCAGGTATAGAGAAAAGGAAAAAGTGTTCAAATAAACTTAAGTTACTATATTTTTATATACTGGATGGGATGATATTGAGGTGGTTTTTTTGTTTTCTCAGTTTTGATCTTAAGAATATTTTATTATGGGATCTCACTGATACCCTTAACCTGATTTACCAGATTTTGCAAATTTTTCTTATACTTCATCAGTACTTAATGGGGACCTGATGCTAAATAAACTGTGGAGTGATACATCTTACTGTAGCTAATATTTTATCACCTGGTTTTAATTTAGGAAACAAGCTGCCTTCTGCCATCCCTACTTTGCTTGGTAATATACAAGGAGAAGAACTGTTGGGTGGTGAATGTGATGGAGGGAGCACTCCAGCTTCCCAAGAAAGTAGTAAAGATGATACAAAAGCTGGATTAAATGAAGATCAAGCAATGATGCAAGATTGCTACAGCAAAATTGTGGAGAAACTCTCTGCTGCAAATCCAACAATGGTATTGCAGGTAAATAATCCAAATGTATGTTGCTTGGGTGCTTGAACCACAAATGTGTAATTTGTCTTGGGTGTTGGCCTACTGAAAGTTTGCC